AATCGTCCAATGGAAGTACGAAGTAATTTACTTCCGCTTCAGGTTCTGGAAGAGCACTGCTCAAAGAAATGAGAGCGACCGTAAAAATAAGTGCAACGAGGAGTAAGAATCTCACGATTGCAATGTTCCTTGACGTCCTCCTGTTTGTTGAAACCATTCAGATTATGTAAATTCACGACAAAAATCCGTAACCCACGTTCGATAATTTAGAACGCAATTTGCGCAAAATATGATCGAAGACCATATTCGAAGCGAGAATTATTCTACAGCTGAGTCATTGTTGTTTCATATCTATTCTATCATGTTCTTTATCTGTCAAGCTTCCGCTATTTTATCTTATACGTTCAATAGGAATAAATCCATCCATACGTATTTCTGCAATGCATCGTATTTCAAATTATCGATTAGTCGAAGTAGAATTATTCATTGCATGCACTGTGTCCCATTAAATTATATGTATATGAACATATATACATAGTCTCGTTACATTTTTTAATAAAATTTCGTTCTATTCGTGTACATACTCATTGTGCATACAATTTTTAAAAAAACGAAATTTTTTTCTGAAACTAAAAGAAATATTGTTAGACTATGAAATTGTGCGATTGAATCTTATGATTCTTTAGCGAAGAAAATCGTCGTTTGAAGATAATAGCGAACGGAAAAATCACTTGCTATATTGCAGTACTTCCTTTCGAATTCTTCGAGTTATTCAACGCAATTCGAGAATTTGTCAAACAGTAACATTTATATCTGGTCACTGAAAGAGATAAGGCACACGTGTCTTAACACTAATCGACATATTGCTTGTCGCAGTAGACTGCGGATTTTCATGCAAATTCATATTTTTGCTTAAATCTAGAAAATTTTATAAATTACTCCCCCCTTTATAAAAGGAAATCTAGATAGAAATTTATTTTCTCTACTAACTATTGCACGGAGCATTACACTTTGGCTATTTTATAGATAAATTTTTGTAAATTCTGTGCATTTTCGAACATTTCGCAAACAAAAAATCGGGGATCTTTCTTATTCTTTTGGATCATTTATTTCCTGTTTCATTTTAGCTTTGTTATTTTGTATTTTGTTGATTATCAAAATCACTGCGTTTCTGAACAGATGTTGTATTTTAGGGTAAGATATAAAAATTCTTTAATCATTATCACTTTAATAGTAAGATATTGAAAACAGGATATGAATAAAACTTTGTCAAACGATTCATATTTCACTTTCGGACCTTTTTAAGATCCAACGTTGTCGATTTGTCGGTTCCTTGAAAACGATATTTCGAAGAAATACCGAATGCAGGTGCAAAGTAATTTGTGACTTACCGCATCAAGACCATGAGATTCTTGCAATTAGGAATAATTGCAAGAATCTCATGATCGCAATGTTCCTTGACGTCTCGTGTTCTTCGCGAATTTTTCCATTCGTCGAAACTATTCGCAACGCCGTCATTTATACCGGCAGAAGATCGTTAAAATTATCAAAATTACCATTACACGAAACACGTCAAAAGGAACATTGAGATTATGTGAGTTCGAAAATCAGTAACCTAGGCTCGATAATTTGTCGGATCGAATTTTCCTCGATCGAGCACCGATTCAAAGCGAAAGTTATTTTAGAGCGGAATCATTGTTGCTTCGTATCTCTTTTATTGCGTTCTTTATCTGTTTAAATTTTTGCTATTTTATCTTGTGTACAATACGTGTTTCCCCTGTTTCCGTGATGCATCGTAGTTAAAATTATCGATTAGTCAAGCAGAATTATTGTATACATTGTGTCCAATTAAATTATACGTGTCTGTCATACGTTGTATGCGTTTGAACTTTATTTTTTAAGGAAATGAAATTTCTTCTGAAGCCAAAGAA